CAAGAAACCAAAGAAGACAGGAAGCTGCTGTCTTGCTTCAGCGGAATTTTAAAATGCAAAGAGCACGTAAAAATTACCGTGCCTTAAAGGCGGCTGCTATATCTCTTCAGAGAAGGTATCGAGCAACAGTACTCTCAAAACAGCAACGTGAGAAGTTCCTTAATTTATGTAGAGCAGTGATTGTAATACAGTCTACCATCAGAGGCCTGCTTGTTAGGAGATATGTAAAGCAAATGCATCTAGCTGCTACAGCTATCCAGGCAACCTTTCGAATGCACATAACCTATACTCGATACAGAACAATAAAGTCTGCTTGTGTTGTAATACAACATCATTATAGAGCATACCAAACAGCTAAGCAAATCAGAGATTTGTATTTAAAACAGTGCCACTCTGCTTTAATTCTTCAGGCGGCTTACAGAGGAATGAAAGTTAGGCATATGTTAAAGAAAAAACATGAAGCTGCAGTAGTCCTACAAAGTAACTATAGAAAACACAGGCAATGGAAATCCTACAAAAATATTCAGTGGGCAGTCAGACTCGTACAGGCAAGAGTCAGAGCCAACCAAGAGAGCAAAGCGGCAGTCCAGCAGTATTGCTCCATTAAGAAAGCTACCATCTGCATTCAGAAAGCTTTTCGAAGGATGAAGGCAAGAAACCAAAGAAGACAGGAAGCTGCTGTCTTGCTTCAGCGGAATTTTAAAATGCAAAGAGCACGTAAAAATTACCTTGCCTTAAAAGCGGCTGCTATATCTTTTCAAAGAAAGTACAGGGCATTGGTTGTGATGAGAAGACAAACTAAAGAATATGCTTCTGTTCGTAAAAAAATTATTTGCGTGCAGTCTTTCTATAGAGGCTTTAAAATACGGAAAGAAGTCAAACGCCAGCATTTAGCAGCAACAGTGATTCAGGCAACATTTAGAATGTATAAAGTTAAATTAGCTTACCAGAAACTGAGATATGCTACTATTACCATGCAGAAGTACTATCGATCACATCTACAGGAAAAATATCAAAATACACATCAGGCTATTCAGAAATCTATAAGAAGTCAGGTCACTTGCAGAGAAACAAAAATACAGCCAGAATTGGACATCATGAATATTTCAGCAACTATCACCCAATCTCTTTATTGGATGTATGTACAGCAAAAGCATTCCAAATTGATATGGTGGGCTGTGGTAACTATTCAGTCTGCCTTTCGTGGAATGGTAGCACGCAAGAAAACAAAGAAAATGCGTGCAGCAAGAAACAGACAGTTGTGTCATATAGCTGTGAATGATAGAACTGGAGCTATTGAATCAAAGAGTGAGTGCCATACAAATAAAGCTGGAGAACAATACCAGAAATATTGGAAAGCTGCAGTTTTAATACAAGAACATTACCGATCTTACCTGACTATGAAACATCATTCAACGGTTTATTTGCAAACATGTAAGAGAATAATTCTTTTGCAAGCTACAGTGAGAGGTTTCATTGAACGACAGAGATTTTCGAGAATGAAAAAAAGTACGATAAAAATACAGGTATTTAAACAATCCAGTTTTCTCCAGCATTAATTGTTTCCAATTACAGTAGAATAAGCTTGAATAAATAGCAATAGCACTTAGACTTATATACTGCTTCACAGTGCTTTACAGCCCTCTAAGCAGTTTACAGAGTCAGTCTATTTCCCCCAACAATCCGGGTCCTCATTTTACCAACCTCGGAGGATGGAAGGCTGAGTCAACCTTGAGCCTGGTGAGATTCAAACTGCCAAACTGCTGGCAGCTGGTGATCAGCAGAAGTAGCCTGCAGTACTGCATTCTGATCACTGCACCATCACAGCTCTTATAAATATCCTTTGATACAATTTAACTACAAATTAGAAGCAAAATTATGTAAGCCCACTACCTTTAAGATATGGAATATCATTTTATAGCTGTCCCTCACCTCTGTTAGGCTGCTGCTTTCATAATTTAATATTAGAAGGCCATGAGCTCAATTTTCATTTATATCCCTTTAAAACAGAGATGGTATCGAGGAAACTGGCAGAGGAGGAAATACCTGCAATATCGTAAGAAAATTATTATAATACAAAGAATGGTGAGAAGATGGATTAGCCACAGAAATATAAATACAGGTGGAATTCCAAAAGATATAAACCCCGAAAATGTTAACACTGGAGTAACTAAATTTCAGGTAAGTAAGTTTTCAGAAAAATGATACTGTTTAGGAATGTACATAAGAGACAAGCAAATTTGGTTTCAAACCCAAATATTTTCTATGTGAATTTTTTTTCCTTGGGCATGCAATGATCCAGATAAAAGAAATTGAAGCAGTTTGTAATGAAATTTATGTTGTTCATAACTTAACAATGAATAAGAGGGCTGATGTGATCTTTATTTGATCAAACCCAGCTAGGTATTTGGAAGGAAGTTCCCCTCTGAAGTGTTAATTCCCTAAGTTTCAGGTGGTACCTGAAACTTAAATATCGCCATCTTGTTGGACTTCAGAAGTATACCATTTCTATAACAGCTCGTCCCTTCTGAGGTCTAATAGACCCCTACCCTTCTATTCTCCCAGAAAGTAACCCGGTTCTTCCCACAGGCAATAGAATAGGACAAGCCCAGTTTGGGATGAGAATATCTGCATAAAAGAAAGGGGGCTGAGGCATAGGGTTTTTTTGCTTATATTGTTATTGTTTTTATAATTGTTTACATTGCTTTATCGTTTGTAAACTATACAGTTTTAAGATGAGCAGCTATATGAATATTTTAAAAGAATAAAAAATTGTCAAGTCAGAATTGCCTGAAAAAAATAGTGGAATTTATTTTTAAATAATAAAAGTTATATTCTAGGAAGTTTCTGCCTCTTAGTCCTTAAACATGTAACTTTTCCTTCTCTCCTTATAAGGCACTGTGGAGAGGATATTCTTGGAGGAAGAAGACTGATACTCCAGAAACCAGATCTCTACGAGACAGTTTGATCATTGCCAATAAAGAAAGCAAAGAAGAGAAGAAGCTATATAATAGAACTGCAGTTGCCATTGATTATCTTCTTAAATATAAACATTTTTCTTATATTCTGGCAGCTCTGAAGGATCTGGGTTAGTAATTTGATTCAAGAGCAGTCTTTATTTTTAAATATCAGCATACAAACATTCTTCTATGTACAAAGTGTAAAACAGGCAAAAGTAATTAAAAACTAGTTGTTTTTATTGTCATTACTTTAGACTTTAGAAGCCTTGGTGTCTAAAATGAAAGAAAATCAGAAAGAGAGACAGGCCAAAATTAATATGTGTCTGAAACAAATATTTTACTACTGGATTGCTACCATAATCAATTGCTATACATGTGCAGTTTGATTCGTGTGTACGGGAGAGAGGGAATATGATGTCTTTATAACCTATCTTGCCTTATTGATAGTTTTCTGATTATCCTTCACATGTCAGGCTGAAATTTGTTCAGTTGAGAAGTCCTCACAGGCCATAGAAATCTGGGGTTTAAATAATGGTATGACTAGCAATGTAGAAACTCTAAATTCTAAATAATGTTGCATTTGAATTTTGTGAGTTCAGAGCCTAAGCTGCAATAAATAAATATAACACTAGACTAAGAGTTGATACGTGCAATCAGTTCTGGGGTTTCAGTTCTATGAGGAATAGATTGTTCACCAAATTTATATTTCTTTCTACAATATATTTTGGTATTAGTTTGATATTAAAAGATGTTAATATATTAAAAGGTTAATATTTTTCCTGTTTTTCTCTTGTCAGAGGTTGTTACAAGATTGTCTCCTGTTTGCTGTGAAAATATGGCCCAAAGTAAAGCAGTCTGCACTATTTTTACATTGATACGGAGCTGCAATAGAAGTGTCCCTAGTATGGATGTTATTAAATATTCTGTCCAAGTCTTGCTTAATTTATCAAAGGTATTAATTTATTTTCATAATTGTTGAAATTAAGGGTTTTTTTTTGTAAGTTTGTATTATATAGTTTACAACTGGTATTATTTTCTCATTTATAATAAGTGCCAGAATTTAAATTTCAGGTTATATTGCAAATGAGAGCTAAACTTATTCACACAATTGAAGCTTATTTCAAGTTTAATTTAACACAACTCAAAACTGCAGGGCCAAATAATTCATGCTGTGATACTGGTTTTCAAAAAAATATTTCAGTCTAAAATTGATTAGCATGTCACGTAATGTGCTATGATTCCAATTGTAAAAAAATTACTCATTGTTCTTGTAGCTTGGGTCAGTCTGCCAAATAGTCAAAAACTACTTGAACAAAACGTTTCATTAACAAAAAATTAGTAAAGTAGGTCTAAGTAACATGCTTAGTTACTGGAACTGCTTATCAAATAAGTTATGATAATATACCTTTAGTGAGTTTTAGTTGAATTCAGTATTGTATTGTATTTGGAAAAATATATTTGCAGTTGATGAAAAAGTACTATCGAGAAGCACTGTTGCAGTTCCCAATATAGTCAAAATATGGTTTGGAAAAACTATTTTGAGAGAAAGTTAAGAAAAGAAAGCTCTGTTTAATCATTAGAGAAGAAATTGAATTTCATTAAGCAATAAAAAATCTTCAGGTCAATTTTCAATACATTACAGTAGTAAGACATTTATATGTTCTAGAGGTGAGGGGAGTGCAAGGTTTTATTTTTGCTAATAAAAGAAGACATCTGCCCCCTCAGTTCATAAGTTACAGTCAATTCATAATAAGTACAATATTTTAATCTGAAATTAAGATATTTGCTAGAATAAAGTTAGTTGATTCTGCTTATATTGTTCACACGAACAAATAGACAAAAATGAGTTTATTTGTGCCTATGTGCTATAAATCATTGACATTTGTCATTCGACAGTTTCGATAATGATTTTTCAAACGATAATTCTAGGATTTTTTTGAGAATTAACTTACAACTTTTCTCATCTGTTTAGTATGAAAGGACTACTGATGCTGTTTATTCAGTGGAAAATTCAGTAGAAACACTGTTGGATTTACTTCAGATGTACAGGGAAAAAGCTGGGGACAAAACTTCAGAAAAAAGTGGTAGCATTTTTACCAAGACATGCTGCTTATTTGCTCATCTCTCAAAGGACTCAAGAAGAGCTTCTGTAAGTTTTCTTTCTTAACTTTTTGTGTCTTCATTCTGTAGGAGTTGCCAAAGTATATATTCAAATATAAATATATTCAAAAATTGGAATGCAAGTTGTTTTCCTTTGTTTGGGCCTGCATGCCAAAAAAATAGCTAGAACTAGCCTTCAGATTCAGATACAGAAACTAGTACTTAAGAGGTAGCAGTGTAGTTGCTGGAGGTTTTTTTAAAAACAGATATTTTAGAACTGAATAGTGAGCAAATATTCCTACTCGCTCTCTCCCACAGTGAAATTGGTTGTTTTAAACTAAAATGTATTTTCTGAGTGGGCAAAATAACATAAGTTCACTGTTATGATTATTTCACATATATCTGACCAGCTAATACTTGCTTATATATAATGGTTTCATATAGGATGCAGCTGATTCATCTTAAGTACAGCTAATCCTCATTTAGCAACCACAATTGGGACTGACAACTTGGTTGTTAACCAAAGCAGTTGCTAAGTGAAAACATGACTGTGCTTATGGTCTTACTTCAGCTTTCAGACCTGTGAAGTTTGTAAAGGTGAGGGCGGGTGATGTGAATTGGTTGTAAGGTTGTAAATGCGAGGGCTATCATTTGATTGACTGTAAGTCTTCAGGCACTAAATGAAGCAGTCACTAAATTAGGACTATCATATAGTTAAAAGCAAATCTTCAATATTAAATTCTAACAATGGGATTTGCTTCTCTTAGCTATGCTGACATTTTAAATGTACTAAGGGAGACAGGAAGTTATTTCTTTGTGAAGGGGTCTATGACAATTCACCATAGCCAACTCACCATGGCTAACTTGCTACAAGACAACTCGCCACGGCCATCTCGCCACTGAACAACTCTGGGACAAGAGTTACACTAATATCAAAGAAATGGTGGCATAAAATCATTAAAGAAAGGATGCAAAAGGAGGGACAGAGTGAAATGGTGAATGACAAAAATTAAAATATTTTTATTTATTTTAAATAATTAAATAGAATTGTTAAATTGTCCTGCAGCAAGTTGGCAGTGATGAGTTGGCTCTGGCAAGTTGACTGTGGTAAATTGGCTGCAGCAAGTTGGCTGTGGCAAGTTGTCCTATTCCCTCCTTGGGGAATATAGTTCTTTGCCTTTAGTACATAGATTATAAATCAGGTTGATTGGATCACACAACATTTAACAGCCTTTAAAAGTAGAACTTAGTTCAAACTTTTCATAAATGGTAGACCATACTACTTTATGGGATTTTTTTTTTTTGAGAAACTACTAGCTCTCCCTGTTCTATACAATTCTACTGTATGTTTTAACAAAATATGTCTTATTTTAAGTGTTTGAATTTGTCTTTTTCTGTAGAGTGAATCCTGAATTTTGTAAAATATAGCCTGAGACTAGCTTTAAAATGAAGCACTTGGTGTAAATGAGGCATACCAAGATTATAGAAAGAACATTAATTAGTCCAATTGAAAATTTGAAAGGATTTTCAAAGATATACAGCTGTGAGATTTCATTGAACAAAATACTATATTTTAACAACAATGGCTTATTTTTTAGGAGATTCGAAACAATCATAAAACAGTTGCTAGCCTTCGGAGATTGTTTAGACTTACAGCCCGGAAACATCAAATGGATGTTCAAAGAAAGCTTGCCAAACAAAAAAAAGTTGCATACATAAATGGACAGAGTTCCATTCCTGTAAAAACAAAAATAGTTTCAAGGTAAGTCTAAATTATTGTAAATTTTCTATTTGAAATTTTCTATTTGAAATCATACTTTTATTTTTATGGATATTTTTTTTCATCCTATAGGCAGAGGCCAGATTGGGATTTAAAGAAAGATAATATAAGAGAGATTGTTGATCCATTGCAAGCCATTGAGATGGTAGTGAACACACTTGGAATTTCCTGCAATTAAAGCATGAAAGAGTTTATAATTTTGACAGTTTCAAAAAGAAATGGACTGGACTTGTGTATCGATGTACATATTATGCATTTGTTTTATAAAGGTTGTTTACCTGTGTTTGAACACATCTGTCAATCAAACTAAACTTCTTATTGATATTTATCTATTGAATTAATAAAATCTCAAGCATTACTTTTATAAGAAAAGTATATACTGTGTACAATATAATAAGTTTGTTATTTTATACAATAAAATGGAAAAACTGAGGTTAATGTAAAGTGTATTTCTTTTGCTTTAGAGAGAAATTTGAAACATTAACAGCTTAATAACATAAAATGAGCATGTAAAACTTGTTTCAGGCTAAGGGGAAATTGTGGGAAATTGTATTCTAAAGAACTGGATTATTGAAAGACAACACCAGAAAAAGATAATTAAAGCTCTGATAGGATTACTTCCCCCCAAAATATTGAATTGTTTCCCCCTTGCAACACATTAAAAAAATTTTTTTTACATTTCGTTTTTACTTAATAAAATTATTTTCTGGTTTACAAATGGAAAGTAGCTTTTCTCATCCATAGAATTCTCACAGTTTTGCTTTACCACTATGAACCCTAAGTTTCCTATTGTTATTTCATGATTTCACAAAATATGACTACTAAATGGAAACATCAAAATTATGAAAAAAAAAACCTATCAGTAGTTGCAATTTAATATTCAGTTCATCCCACACTCTTCAATTGCCACTTTTATTGTCATCTTTTGTATCTTCTTCCACTGATATATTTGATGCCTGCATATTCCTTTTTCTGTGGCTGGACCCATATTGTGAAACAAACTGGAGTTTAAGAAACCTCATTCCCCATAATTTAGTAACGGACTCAAAAGATTGGCTTATTAAGGCTTTCTAATTGTATCAGTTGCTCTGATTTTTACTTTTTTTAACACAAACATCTGTCTGTCTATCTATCCACATATCAGGCTGTTTATATAATGTGAGATATATGATCATAGCCTGATACATGATGTATTTATTATTAACATGGGAGAAGATGAAAATTTGTTCTATTGCTCAAACAGGAAGTGGCTATTGCTTCACTCACATGAGAGGAAAAAGGCACAAGGATTTTGCAGATTTCATTATAAGGCTTGATACATAGAAGTTGGTAGAATCCTAAATAATTTGACATAGAATAAGCTTTTGATTTTCCTTCAAACCACAGAAGATTTAAAAGTAATCCCTACATGTTTAAATGCCTTGGCCTGTTTGGAGGTAGTGTTATTGTCTGTCAATGTGTATGGCTAGCAAGGCTGTTAGTAAAAACTATTATTTTTAAAATAGTTGATTGCAAAGCTTTCTTTCGATAAAATGCATCAGCCTAAGGATTCGACCTATTATTTATTTTCTTCATCCTGGAAGAGCCTAGAATAGTTTACAGCAGAAAAATAAAAAACATTAAGGCTATTGTAATAAAACCAACACTCAATAATGGATACAAAAATAATGCAAATTTCATTTTAACAGAAACGGTAATAGGTAGCCTAAAAGTAATGTTTATTTGTAATTATCTTGGTAAACATGATTTTACTTATTTTTTTAAAAAAAAATATGAATGGGGAGGAGGCAACCTTCAGAAATGTTCTATAATAACAGTCGAACCATCTGAGATTATGAACAGGTCCAGCCCAGTTTATTGTACTTTACATTCATAAATTGTTTATGGGGCAATTGAATATCAATGTTGTACCATAGTATTTTTAGGAATAGTGCTGTCTAGTCCTGTTTAGCTTTCAGTTTAACAGTCTACAACCCCATCCTTCACTGGTTAAAGTATGCCACCTTGAATGATAGCCTATATATAGTGGACTACAATAATCTCAAATATGAGATTATTAAGGTATGAATAACTTCCGTGTTGGGGAAATACTGTTTAACAAAATGCAGATTATTATGTATAGTTATTTAAAAATTAGCCTAGAGCTATCCAGTCACATGAAAGACCTTTTAACAGATCACAAGCATTACAGATTTTTTTCCACATTTGACTCAATCTGATGAATTAATGTTAAATTAATTATTATGAATTAGTACTTAAATATTTTCCCACACTTTTAATGTTACATTTGTAGAACTTGGAATAGTATATTGTGAAATATCCTAAAGGAGATACTGCCTTCCTACAATTTAGATGTAGATATACATAATTTTATTTGGGGAATAAAGTTTCATTGTGAAAAGAACAGTTTTTACCTATCAGATTTCATACAGCTGGCAAGGCCAAAGAATTAAAAATGATACGGATTTCAATAAAATATTTTATGGCAGTCGGAGTAAATACAGAAGAAAGTATAATAGGAATTTCCCAGATTGATTAAAGTAAGTTAATTAAGATTGAATCTGAGGCATTTTTGATTGAATCCGAAGCCTCAAATAGCCACTACCTAGACTGAGTAGCTGTTTAAGAAATAATCTTTCAACTTATCTTCTGAAACCTTCCATCCTGTCATGCTCTCCTATAAATTATTAACCAAACTGCCTTCAGAAATGGAGTAAACGAGCAAAAGTGGGATAATACAAACTTGCCAGAAAAGGAAAGCACTCGGCATGGGGTATAAAAAGTGGATATTTTCATTTCTATTAATATTTGCTGCAATAAAGAAACTTCTTGCTGAAGGTAAAAATCAAATATATGTATGTTGTTAAAATGTCACACTTTTTCAACAATTGTAAGGAAATAGAAACTGATATCCTAGGTTCAAAAGTGGCATGTGTATCACCCCCTTCTGATTACGTATTTATTTTTAAGAATATATGTAAAGATGTATGATTGCATGCATCCCAAAAGGCTGAAAGTTGTGCTAGCGCTCAAAGGATTTTGGATAACAATTTAATCTTAACCAAATTTTATGTGAGTGAGAGGAAAACATGGTAAATAGAAGATCACATTTATCGGGATGTAACAGATCATTATACAATAAGCCTCGTATTACAAACGTGCATTTTAATTGCATTGTTTTGTAAGGTTTTTTTTAAAGAACTGGTGTTTAATCAATAGGTTCTACAATAGGTACAATAGGTTCTACTTTCCAGAATGTCTAGTTCTTATAAAGTGAGCAAACCTACATATATAGGAGATTTTTGTTAAAATTCGAGTTGTAAAGTAGAAACCATGATGTATTTAACTGGATTCTTCTGAGCATAGTTACTGATTACATATTTTAAAGACATGAGTTCGTCTTTTTTTCCATTTGCCTACTGCCCTTGGTTGAAATGAAATGGGTTGAAGAGAGTATATTTTCCATTTCTTCCTACTTGACTATTAATACATTTCTTCTAGACAAAGCTTGTGACTTCCCCAATATTGAAAATGGAAGGATTGCCTTATATTATTATAGTTTTAAAAATTATTATTTTCCAATGAAGAAAGGTGAAAAGCTCTCATATACCTGCTTGGCTGGGTATTCAGCTGAAACTGGAAGTCAAAATGGAAGAGTAAACTGCACCAATGAAGGCTGGACACCAGTCCCCAAATGTTATAGTAAGTCCACATCCTTTTCTATCTAGTCTGATTAGAAAAGAAATGTAGTATTCTTCATATTGTAAGAAAAATTGAATGTTATATATAGTATAGGATGAGCAATCTATATATACAATTTGATAGTTAAGTAACTGAGAAAAAAGTTCCAGATTGCTGTCCTGTGACCATGGGATGCTTCAACTGATTGCAAATGTGAGCTAGTTGCCAAGGACCTGAAATGTAATCAAATGACAGTATGAGTGGATATGGCAGGATGGGTCACAAAGTACCTTTTGCGAGAGTTTGTTGTAACTTTGAAAAGTTAAGTATCCAGTAATTAAGCAAGAATTATCTGTAGATTTATCAATCTATTAACATGGCTTCCTGATGTATAGGATTTGGTTAAGTGACTATGGGTCCTTTCTATAATATTCTTGCCATGTAAGAGTTTAACTTTTATGAACAAAGAAAAAAATATAACGTTTTTCTCATCTTTTTCTTTAACACGCTAAAGAGAAATGTGTCCAACCTACTTTGGATAATGGTGTTTTTTCTGATACAAAATTGTCTTATGACATCTGGGAAAGCTTAAAATATAGTTGCCATTCAGGCTACCAAACTCCAGAAGGCAAGAGGAATGCAAGTATACAGTGTCTTCAAGATGGATGGTCAGTTCAGCCACAGTGTATGGAAGCCACTAAAGAACCTTTAGGTAATACTAAACAACCCATGACCCATTGGGTCATTGTTTCAAATATATTTCCTTTAAAAAAAAATCTGAATGACCACAGGTGGATAAAAAAATCAGTGAGACTTCCTGTTGTCTTCCCCATTGAGTTTCCTTATGGGAAGCTGGCAGTAAGCACTGGAAAACC